ATTGTTGCAGTCTTTATCAGCCTACTAAAAACATGTGTCCGTGGTTTGGATCTATAGCAGTCTTTTGATCTATCCTTGGCACTATCAGAGAATTGAAATAATTATTTTCATCCCTCCCCATATTCCGAGGCTGCAATTTGCAGACGACTTACTCGGCAGAAATGCCAGGACTACCTTGGCAATAGTGAGTCCAAGCTGTCTAGCAGCTGTTTGAAACTGGAAGGGAAAACATTCTGCCTGTTAAACTTTGAAGAGAACATAATTCAGGAAGTGATTTGCATAAAAATTAGATTTGCAAATAGGATAGCTTTTAGTTCAGTCTCTTGCGAGTAGCTGGACTTCTGGGTGAGAAGGACTTCAATTAAAAATATTCCTGCTGGTTAAATATTTCCTTTGTTTTCCTTACACCATCCATGCCGTGAACATGACCTTGGTTTGAAAGTTTCCATGTTAGCCATTGTTCAGCAGTTTCCCAGTTTAATGCCTTGTTGGTTCAGTTCTGGTCCTTCTTTGGAATTTGTTTTTATTCTGTTGTCTCCATTATTGTGTTGGGTAGATTACATGAACATTTAACAAATTTAATTTTGCTGGTATTTGATATGAATGCTCCCTCTAAGCTGTGGAGTCTTGTGAGCAAAAATTCTACTTTGTGAGCTACTGGCGTTAGAGTTGTGAGCGAGTGATTTGGCTGCTGCATAAATTAGTTTGCTCTGGAGCCATCTTTCCTGAGCTGAGACAAAAATGTGTGAGCCAGAGGCTAAAACAGAAGATTTGTTGTCCATGCTTATGTATGAAAGGCCTGCATATTTGCACAAAGGAATTAGACTGACATTGACTAATGTTTCCATCATCCCAAGGTAAAATCAGAATCTGTTAATCCAGGGCCTAAATGAACAGTGTAGTTTAGCTAAAATAAAGGACGTTTTTGTATTATGACATCCTATTTTATTGAGCATCATCCTGACAATAGACTTCATTAGGTTATTTAATCAAGGAGAAAAAAATGCATACCATATATAGTTTCCAGGACACTATTTCCTGCTCTGCAGACTTTATAGTTACAGTAGACCTTCGTCTTTCTTAGGGGATCAGTTCCTGGAATCACTGTGAATGGCAAAACATATGAATACTAGGAGGCAGGGGTTGTAGTGCATCCCAGTATTTTTTTTAAAAAATCGTACAAAATTTAAAGATATTCGAATAGGAGACCACCAAGGAAGTCCAAGGTTGCTGCACATAGGAAGGTGACAGCAAACCACCACTTGCCTTGAAAACCCTGTGGGTGGGGATTGTATCATGTGATCAAACTGCAGACTGTGAAGAAGTGAAATCACGTCAGGAATCTGTAACTGGTGAGGATCTACTATATATGTAAAGACCAATGAGCCATTGCTGTTTGGGTGTACAGTACATATGTGCTACTTAGTTGGGAAAATACCCTAATGGATAGATAGAACAATGTTATTTCCTTCTTCCTGTGGAATATCTCAAGGGCACTCTCCTCCATAATTTCAAATTTGGTCGGTACAGCTATGTTGGGGGGAGGGGGTATTTAAGCCCTTATAATTGCGTTCTGAAACAAAACACTGTTGCTAGACTTAGAACATCCTGTAGAATTCTTTTAAAGTTATTTTTGGCTGAATGAGAATGCATTAAAACATGTACTTCACCTCAGAAGCTAATAAAAGAGAAGTGAGGGAATCAATGTGCTTTTAGATAAAATCTTCAAAATGATACATGCTCCCATATAACAACTTATTTCAAGGGGGAGTGGTACAATCTAAGGTGGAAAGAGGGCTTGAAAAACCATCGATTTTTTCCTCCATCTGTATCTGTGCTGTTGGGTGTGAATGAAATTTCTCTGCCTTCTTCAATTATCCAGAGGTATACTCTAGTTAGTATATGGTTTGCCTTTTTCTCTTTTCATGTATGACCATAGAACAACCCATTATTACATTTGGACACTCCCCCCCCCCTTTGATCCAGTGTCACTTTAAGAAGACATTTTGTGTGTGTGTGTGTGGGGGGGAATAAGGTAGCCAAGTAATTGTAGACATTTTCACCAGGCAAATATATAAATCATAGTCAGCCTAAGCTTGAACATCATAGCCACATCAATCTCGATCCATCTTTTTTAAAAAGTCTAGGTACAATATAAACACACATTACCCCCAAAGGCAGCTAAACAGGAACCAAGCGTGTGGGGGAGGAAGTTTTATGGTCTGGTTAACCTTCGGCTTCTTGAAGTGCTGCTCTGCATTCTCAAAGTAAGCTGTGGGGGTTTTAGCCAGAGATAATGTCTACTGTAGGTTCTAGCTGTTGAATGAGCATGTTCTCTTGCCTGTCCTTCCCATGTCTAAAATCATAGGTTGGAAAGTATGTGAACACATGTTGATTTGATAATTAGATAGCATTGTTGTTTTCTAGTCTGTACTTTTATCCAAAGGAGGTTGGGTGGCCAAAGTATCTTATGAAGTATGATGGGTGGGGGTAGGCTGATGAATGAACACAGTATTTATTGCTTAAAAATGCAGTGTGCAGGTCAAAGCTGTGTCAATCTGACATTTCCAAAATCTGTCAGAGAGTCTTGGTTAGTCAGGAAAACAGCTGTTTGAAGCTACCCAAGCTGACAATGGGCATTTTTGCCCTTGGCCAGTGAAGCAAAGGGCAGATAACAGGGTAATGCTATGCAGAGTTAAGTAAATTCACTTAGGATTTTACTGTCAGAACCTCATAATGAAGATTCCCAAGGAAGTCAAACATATACATAAAACAGAGGGTTAATCTCTCCCTTAGAGGGTGGGGGGAGGGTAGCATATTGTAGCTCACCAGTTAGAAGGAAAGAAGGACAACATTATTCTTTACTGGAGTGGGGGACTGCAACACAAAGGATGGTTATGTTTCCTTCACATGTGCATTCTTTAGGAGTCAGAGCTGTAGCATACAGCTTACCTACATTTGAACACTTTCCCCTAGGACCTACAAATTGTTCTTCTGACCTAGTTCAGGTCAACTTTTTGACAGTCTGCCATTAGTTTGTGTAGCAAAGTTGTATATTTTAGAGAGTTTTTTCCCTGGAGGAAGTGGGTGTTTAAGATCCCAAAGTTTTATAGTAGTGGCAGAGCTGAAATATGTAGGGGGCTAGGATACGAAACCCTAGCCCACATGTGAAGCCCTAGGCCCTAGCCTATAGCCTGTGCCCACATCAGAAGTACAAGATAATGATGCAGTTGCCTCCACAAAGCGTCTCCTCCATGAACCCAGTTGCATTACTCCTCTTCATCTCAGGGAGGCTACACAGCACACATCGTGAGGGACTGTCACTCTGTCTAGATTATTCACAATATCATGTGATATCTGCATGGGAAAACAGCATCTTTGTCTTAGATTCTCTCCCCACTTCAGTCCTTTCTTCCTTCTTCCCTCCCAGTGAAGCAGGGTAAGTGTGAGATTCCTGGGAACCAATTTTTCAGGAAGCAGTTCATTCATACAAAGAAAAATTGCAATCGGGTGGATAAGTAAGGCAGAACAACCATCATTCTCTAATGCCCATACAGATCTTTATTTTCTAATTTAGCATGCTGTGATAGAGCCTGGACTGATATTGAACCAGCCAGCCCTTTGGAGGCAGCTTGAAGGTACCCAAAGCAAACTCTCCTTGAGTCACCTTGTCTTGTGAATCAGAGTTAATCTGATATAACATTCCTAGTCTGTGATCTAGTCTTGTCCTCAGTGGTAGCTATTACATTATACTTTTTGTTTAGTTACATTTTGATTTCCATTCACCTGGCCAGCCATATGACTCTCAGAATCAAGGTAAAATAATATAAAGCAGCATACAATCTACTCCCCCCCCATTTAAATGAGCTTGATGTAAAAGGGCAGAAGAATATATACTACACTCAACAACTTCAATCTTAGCAATAGTTCAGGGCAACAAAAATGTTTTCCACAGAGGTCATTTCGGGGGGGATCATTTCGCGGGGGGCGGGGGCGGTCTGCAGTACCAGAAATTTATATTACACAGCACTTAGCTTGTCTTCAATACGAAAGATAAGATAGCCTTATCATAAGCATTTTTGCAATGCAGTGGTGTTTATATAAAAATAGTCAGGAGATACTCAGGAGTGATCTACAGAGAAATCATGAAAAAGGCTCCCATGCCCCCCCCAACAAATAACAAATTTGAAAAATCCCACATCCTCTTAACATTAAATGCAGCCATATTTTCAGACACTGTACACGAACCCACTTACAATAGAACTGTTGATCAGTATGTCTCTAGCTTTCTGTTTACTATGTATTTCTCTAGATTTCCAGACTTAACTGTTTCCCAGAAGCTCCATGACTTTTCATTATGTTGAGAATATGGATATCCTTCACAGTGAGCACAGAGAGCACTATTTAATATGCTGTGGTGTGATTAGAACCAAGAAGCAGGTGCCCCATAAAAACTAGCAGCTTTAGAAAGTCAGAAAAGACCTGCCTTCTGCTCTCCTTGTTGCCAGAGGTACTGGCCTAGACAATGGCACATATAATATTCCTGTCAGTGTTGGGGGGAAAAGAGCCAGAGCACAAATTACAGGTATGGCAGACAGACCGTTGGAAATTATTAATTTAGCCAGAGTTGTAGAATCAGAGAGATTCTCCAGGGTCATCTAGTCCAACCCCCTGCACAAGGCAGGGAATTCACAAATACTTCCCCTTCCACACCTGCAGTGACCGCTGTTCCATGTACCACACACCAGCCATCCCATCATTCTGGTGTAAGCTGAGGAGAGTTTCCATGACACTGCTGCTACTTCCTGAAGGTGGTTGATGCTACCCCTTCCAGGCCCCAGAAGTAGAACTACACATTAGATGGCACTAACATGTTATGGCAGCTGCAGGGGTAAGACCTAGCGGTCTCCTTATATTGTTTGGAACAGGCTAGTTTGATAGCGATTAATATTGGAAACTGTTCATGGTGCGGAAAACCTTAGAATCTGGTATGTGCTCAGTTTCAGAATGGCTACGGTTACTGCCTTTTCTGGGTGTCCTTGCTCTGCTCGGATATCTTGCTGTTCGTCCATTCCTTCCGAAAAAGAAACAGCAGAAGGATAGCTTGATTAATCTCAAAATCCAGAAGGAGAATCCCAAAGTAGTGAACGAAATCAACATTGAGGATCTGTGTCACACGAAGGCAGTATACTGCAGGTGTTGGCGCTCGAAAACGGTGAGTTGCATCCTTCAGTGTATGATTGAAGGATTCTCTTTTTTTTACTGTGATTCATACCTGGCATGATGCAAAATTGTCATAACCATGCAGTTGGAGTTTCCATTGGCTTTTATAGTGTGTTGTTTTCTCTTCTCGTGTTAGTTCAGTTCCCACTTCTGACACACAGTTGTTCACACCAAGACACCTGCAGGCCTAAATTATTACCATAAATTGAGAAAATGCTTTGTGGAGGTGTTGCCACCATAATCTGGAGAGACTTGAAGCCATGGTTTCCGAATCCAGTTTGCCAACCATTCACAAGCCACAGTGTCAATTCAGATAACCTGTCCAACTCTTTGTTTAACAATAGCTTGATACGATGTCTGAATTGTGTGTCTGTATCCCAGTCACTGTTGCACACATGTTGACTATGCTGGAGGTGTTGTGTCTAACTTACCACATGATGACTGTGTTGCTTCAGGAAGAGGGTGGAAGGTACAAAGAGACCAAGCAAGACTATGTGAAAAGAATCTATAGCAAAAGTTTTGAAATTCCAAAGAATACATGTCCCCAGGTTTGGGGAACATGAACTCATAGGGAGATGTTAAATGGTTGCTACATCTGTGGTTCAGAACCAGTAATGTGCATGGAGCAAGTGCATATAGTATTGTAAGCAAGGCAGTGGCTCATTAGATTGCATGCATGCCAAATGGCTTGGGATGAAGGTACTTAGTGGACCACGTGCTTCCATATGAACTTGCCCACCAAAATCTTCTTTGGAAGCCTTGCGTCAATCATCCCCTCTTCCACATGTGAGATGAAGACAAGGTCTTCTCAGTGGTGGCTCTCCAGTTGTTAAATGCCTTCCCCTCAACTATTCACCCTGGCCCAAAGCTAAGTTTTCAGTGCCAGGGCAAAACATGCCTGCTTTCCCTCGCATTTTGCTTACCTTAGTTGCTGTATGTAGGTATATATATATATTTTTTTTTCCTTCTTGCTTGCTTTTATTTTACTGAATTTATTGTAACTACTGTATTACATTACCCTCTGGAGTTATTTGGTGCTTCTAGTCATTGATGCTGCAAAAGTATATCTGTTGTAAGGGTTTTGCTGCCATTCCCAATACTACTTTAACACTGTCAAGGGTTTTTATTCAGGTTTATTCTCATTTTATTATATTGTGAGGTCTGAGTTTTTGAATTTGACAGAAATCTGCCTCATGAACCATTAAGAGAGTGGAATAAAAATAGAATAAGTAATAGCAATACTGCAACCTGGGTGTTTTTCCATGTCTTAAGATAATGTTTGACATCCAGTTCTGGTTGTGTGGATTGTATTCTGAACCAGTTATAACCAATGCTCCCTCTAAGCTGTGGAGTCTTGTGAGCAAAAATTCTACTTTATGAGCAACTGGCATTAAAGCTGTGAGCAAGTGATTTGGATGCTGCATAAATTACCGGTAGTTTGCTCTAGAGCTACTTCCTGAGCTAAGACAAAAATGTGTGAGCCGGAGGCTAAAAAACTGTGAGCTAGCTAGCTCACACTAGCTCAGCTTAGAGGGAACACTGGTTATAACTAACCAAGGTTCATGAATGTAAAGCTTTCGATGAACATAAGCACCATACACAAGTTAGTCACCTCTGTCTTGTCTTTTCTTTTTCCCCTCTTCAGTTCCCTGTCTGCGATGGCTCTCACAACAAGCACAACGAGTCAACGGGAGATAATGTGGGTCCATTGATACTCAAGAAGAAAGAAGTGTAGCAACTCCTTAACTAAACCATGACTGAAACGAAGGTCTACTGTTACCCCATCTGTGGTAGTGCTTTCAGTCTAAGAGTTGCTGTAGTCTTGACTTTTAATATCGTTTTAGGTTTCTTTAGATTTATAGACTGCTAAATATGTTCCGATATTTTGTATGGTAGGAAAAATAATGTCTAATGTTACAAAAATATCCCCCCTAAATATTAGTGTTAATCAGTGTAACAGAATTACCATTCCCATAGTTTCCATTTAACATATTTGGGATGAACATGCTGTAATAAAACATTAGACTATATGTGTGCCACTGGTCTTATGCCATTAGCGTGCCACTACTTATGGGCACTTCTACAATATAAATACAGTTGGGTTTAGAACCAACTGAAATGTCATTAACTTTCACCGAAGAACTAGGGGAACTGTAGAACAGAATTCCTTGTTCTGACATTGGGGTTATGCTGATTCTTTCTTGAGCAGAAGAGCTGTGGCCTAAATCTTCACCGGTTCCCTAAGTGTGACCCAAGTCCCATCCTTGCTTGAAATGTCAATCTAAAACGGGAGTTAAATGAGGTGTGGTTTCATAGCCTCTTACAGAACCACAGTTCTTGGGATTTGTGGAATGACAATAATTAACCAGTCTTCTTGGTCATCACCTTTGTCTTAATCTATTTTCTGTTTTTCAGAAGCAATACAGTTTGTACTTTCATAAGATTCATGGCTAGTCTTCGGTGTAAAGACTTTTCCTGCTCATATTTAAGTTGCAGGGTTGGGTACATGGATAACAGACCCCCTTAGAGAAATAGCATAGTCTAAATACACTCCATGTTGTTGCAAACAGCTGCCTATACTGGATAACACTGGTAACCATAAGCTAGGTAGGCAACAAAAGGCTACCACCTAGATAAAAAACAAATTCACACCAGGGTGTCCCAAACAAGAAAAGGACAATCTTCTGGGCATGGAACAGGGATCACTGGGGGTGGGGGAGGGATATTTGTGCATTTCCTGCATTGTGCAGGGGGTTGGACTAGATGACCCTTAGGTCCCTTGCAATTCTATGATTCTATGTTCTATGATTCTAATATGTACAGATCGTGATCCCATTATGTTATACTCCAGAACTCTTATTGTTGCTCTAGAATTCTTTTTTTTACACCCCAGTTTCGCTGTGGCCAAACTGTTGCTATAAACATTGTAAGCCACCTTCGACTTCTCTTATCTTTCTCAAACATGTGAAAACATCAACCACACTAAGCCTGGATTCCCATTGCAGTCCTTGGTTACTTCTTTCCTCCCACCATCACCACCAAAATTTTCTAGGTACAGCTTGACTTTTGCCAGCATTACAACTGTGTCCTCAGTCTTTGCCTAAGACTTCACACAATTGGAGTTCATTCTTTGCCCTACATCTAAAAGACTGAGAACATTATAAGAGCCCTGCTAGATCTGACCATCTAATCCAGCATCCTGTCTCACACAGTGGCCAACCAGTTCCCCTGGAGGTCCAACAACAGGGCATAGAGATAAAGGATTTCCTCTGATGCGGTCTCCTGGCACTGGGATTCAGAGATTAATTGCCTCTGAACATGGAGGTTCCCTTTAATCACCATGGGTAGTAGCTACTGATAGGCATATTGTCCAGGAATCTCTCTGATCCCTTTTTAAAGCTGCCTATGCCTGTGGCCATCACTACATCCTCTAGCAGCAAATTCCACATTTTAATCACTCGCTGTTTAAAGAAATATTTAGTCAGTTCCAGGCTAACAAAGATTTACAGAATAACATTTTCAAACCATCATTACATCATTTTTATTATGGCACCTGAGACCAGTTTAGATTCTTCACATGCAGAGGGACAAAGGGCACCTGCTTGTCATTAAGGTCTTGAGTGCCTACAATGACTACTCTTGAGATCTGCAGAGGCATGTTGATGAAAGCAACTAAGATGATAATTAATATTATTATTATTATTATTATTATGAATATAAATTAAAATCAACAATCAATTAGTCCTAATTTCACAATCTTCAGATAGTGTCTATAATTTAATCTATAACCTGCTGTGGACTGTTCTTCCATATCACAGGCAGGTTAAGGAGGAGGCCGAAGTGGGCAAGGTGGAAGAAAAGAGGAGTACTGAGCCATTGCCCAGTGATCACCTTTGTCTCCTTTTGTTCTATTCCCGAGGGACCGAGATCATCTCCTAAAACACATGGGAGTAAAATATGCTGCAGCAGTTGCCATTCCCATAATGTTACAAAACGCCTTACAGTGAAACAACATTTCTGCTCTTACCGGCTGTGAAAAATAGTGGCTGAAGAGTTGGGTCTCTGAATACATGTGATGTAAGCTACAGTTCGGCTGTTACTCCTCACTCTGCCACTGATTCATGGTAATTACTCAGAGGAAGTCACAGTTCCCCTGGACATCAGTTTATCTGTCAGATAGGACTAGACAACACTCACCTTGCCTACATGAGTAATAAACGTCAAGGTAATCTTTACAGGTGGGTATAATCTGTCAGTCAAAAGTGTTCCAGCTCATTGCAGTAGCAATAGGCACCCCATTCTGCATTTCTTAATTGTTTTCTAGTCTCAGCCTGTGCTGTGGGAACTATCTTCTACTCCAGTAGTGTCACCAGACCAGCACAGGCAAAAGTAGCAATTCTAGATCCAGACAGATAATATACTATATTTCAATATGAGTCTGATAGAGAGCATCCTCGACCAAGATGTAATTTAAGCAAAAGACCAAAGTGCATTTTCTCCATTTCCCTGCCCCTAAACATACTCATTGTGGGACTAAGGTTTCTATTGAAGCCGTCTGCTCTGCTGATTACTTCAGTTCTGTCGATCAAAGAGGGTTGTTCATGAAAGCTGCAGTATCTGGTCTCCTTGTTCGTCCATCCCTTTCGTAACAAAAGAACATATTTTGCTTGCCTGTGTTGGGTTACTCCATGACAACTGAATTATTCTAAGTGATGTGATGACTTGTTTTCAGTCATGTTCTCTGCTTCTAGTGAAAAATTGCATAATCAGGCCTGGCTTCTGATAAGTAATTTCCACATTTTCTATATTGTTTACCACCGTGGAACCCATTGAGGCCGTCTCTAGTGATTTTGTGGACTTGCAGAATTGCTCAAGTTATAAACAGGAAGGAAAAATTGTGTTGAAGTAAGGAGCCAAGAAGATGATGGCCAGGGAACAAAAGTATGAAAGAAAACAGCTAGTGTTTGCAGTTCTGAGCTGGACTCACACATCATAAACAAGTTTGTGACAAGAACAACTCAGGAAGCCCTCAGGTTCACAAATTCCATCTCTCCGTCCACCTCTGCTGATGCGTCAGAGTAAGATTTATTTACTGATGTATACGTTAAGTGGTTAAGACGCTGAACTGCAGGCTGTGGAAGGTCAGTAGTTCAGCAATTCAAGACCCGGGTGCCGCAAGACGGAGTGAGCTCCCATCTCTAGTTCCAGCTCCTGCCAACCTAGCAGTTCGAAAGCAAGAAATTGCAAGTAGATAAATAGGTACCACTTCGGTGGGAAGGTAACAGTGTGTTTAGTCATGCCGGCCACATGACCATGGAAACGTCTTCGGACAGCGTTGGCTCTTTGGCTTTGAAACGGAGATGAGCACCGCAACCCTAGAGTCAGATTCGACTGGCTTTCGAGCAAGGGAACCTTTACCTTTATGTTTCATTTATACCCCACCTTTCTCCCCAATGAGGGCTCAAAGCAGCTTAAATCATTCTCTACTCCTATGTTCTTTTCCTCACAGCAATCTTGAGAGGTAGGTTAGGGTGAGGGAGACAGTGGCTGGCCCAAGAGCACCCAGCAAGCTTGAGTGATAGAGTGGAGGTTTGAAGTTGGGTTTCCTAATCATAGTTCAGCACTGTAACCACTTCACCACACTGGCTGTCTTCATAGCTGAAGACTTCCTTGTTGAGAATTAACTGCATCATAGCATCCAGATCAGGCTTTTTAACTAACAGTGGTAAGGTCACAAATCAGGATTCTAAACTGTGGTTGAATCCAAGTTTGAAAACCTGATTTGCAGGCAAGAAACACAACAATTTGTTATAGCTTCCAATTTGGCTGCCATGACAAATTGCAGTTTAGTGCTAAACCACTATGTAAGGGTGGAACATGACACAGATGCCAGGAGGAGGAGGAGAAGAGAAGGAGTTTGGATTTATACCCTGCCCTTCACTACCTGAAGGAGTCTCAGAGCGGCTTACAATCCCTTCCCCTCCCCACAACAGACATCCTGTGAGGTAGGTGGCGCTGAAAGAGCTCTCCCGAGAACTACCCTTGAGAGAACAGCTCTGAAAGAACTTTTGACTGACCCAAGGTCATACCAGCAGCTGCATGTGGAGTGGGGAATCAAACCACTACACCAAACTGCCTGAGCATTTCCAGGGCCCATTCTTGGCCCAGCATATAAATGTGGCTACAGTGTTTGACTTGCAAAATTTCTGTTAACAAACTTTTTTTAAAGTCAGTTACGTGGAAGCAAAGAAATCACACACACACACAAACATCGCTGTATATTTGATCAGGTGAACATTAGAGGTACAGTTCAGCAATAGGAAGTTGCATGGAACCAAAGTTAACAGCTAAAGTCCAATTGAAATTAAGGGGCAGATTCACATATTTGGTAGGGTTGGTCTCCATGTTCTGGTGGAGGAGGCAAGCATGCATGAAGTGCAAAAACCTACTCCTTTGTGGGCTTCTCTGCAAAAACCTGGGTATCATTATACATGGGAAGAGGAGACACACACACATGTCATCTCCTTGAGGAGAGAATCCTTGCACAGGAGATCAATCACAACTTAACTTTTGCTAACTTGGGCCTTGTGCCTCCAGCCATTTTTAATCTGATGATACAAGTCAGATGTATATTACATGCCACTTGAGTACATGCCAAGGTTAGTGTAAACAAGAGAATAGACAGTTCTTAATTGCTGGCTTTAATTCCTTGTATTCCTTATGTGTGAGATAATAGATGTCCCATGATGGAGAAGTGTTGGGTGATACTCTAGTTTCTTGCTCAGTTACATTAGCACCAGGGAACAATTTGGCTTCTCGTGTCCATGCTACATTCCTATGACTTTGGATGTACAATAACAATTTAAGGTGTATAGTCTGAGTGAACATACTTGAATCTCTGGGGGATCAATTTTTTAAAAAATCTGTATGGTTTTTAAGAGTAGTTCATATGAACAGAGAATGGTACAGCAACAATCAGCAAAGTACACATCAAGTCAATAACATAAGACTGAACTTGAGGCAAACTGAGTGTGCATGCTTAGGGCATGGCAGTGGTATGATGCTGATTTGCTGGAAGCTGATGATGCCGCAAGCTTAACTTATCACACTCCCTGGGAGTAGTTTTTCAGTTCTTCAGATCTAGGGTTGCTGTTTTTAAGGCACTGAATCAACATTCATTGGGAGAAACTTGTTGACGTGAGTCTGAGAAGATAAGTTGGGATGTAAGTATTTTTAATAAATAAAATGTTAAGTGGGGTAAACTCATAGTTGGTGCTTTTAAAAATTAGAAAGACAAACAGCTGACCTAAAGCATGGAGGTGGGGTAGTGTGGTACAGAAGGCCCAAGCAGCATTTGGTTTATGTGTAAGTTTATGATCCATCAAAAGCATTGCCAAGGTGCAGTGAAGCAAGCAACCACACCCCATCCTCTTTTTAAGGCCTTTCAGGACACACCATGTCATGACTAGGTTTTGAATGTGCGTACTTTTTTTAGACTGGGTTGCCTCTGGGTATTTTCTACAGTTCGAAACTTTTTTAGGCCCTGACCTGGATGGCCCAGGGCTAGCCCAGTCTCATCAGATCCCTGAAGCTATGCAGGGTTGGTCCTGGTTAGTACTTGGATAGGAGACCACCAAGGAAGTCCAGGGGTCCTACACAGAGGCAGGCAGTGGCAAGCCACCTCGGAACATCTGCTGCCTTGACAACTCTCTGAGGCGACCATAAGTCGGCTGCGACTTGACAATGTTTTCTGCCACCAAATCATTGGGGCTGTAACCTCTCATCCCCTTTTTATTGGTTGAAAACACGGAACTTTTCAAACCAAACCAAAAATCATGAGATTTTGACATTCTATAAGCAAACTAAATACTCATTTAGGACTTTTGTATACCCCAGCAGTGCTCATGTGGGTTATTTTTATCATTTGATCTGAAGGAAAGTTTGTAGAGACCTTTTTTTTTTGTAAGCACGTGGCACTGTTAGCCTGAGGTGCAGATTCAGATTTCAGTGTAAGAAGATTCTTTGTAAGCTGTATAAGCATCCCATGTGCATCCCTACTCAAATCCTTTGATCCTGTATGTGTTTGGGCAGGTTGATAACTCCGGTTTGGTTGGCTTGGGTTTAATTTCATATTACCTGTTAATTTTCTGCAAAGACCTTGGCCCTGATCCAGTCATAGCTGCATGTTTTATTCTATGAGTTGAGGTCCTGGATGGGGGTTAGGATGTTCTTCCCTTTCCACCTCTGATGCCTCTGTTAATTTTTTTTTTTATATTTCCCTCTCCTAAAAAGGAGAGAATGATGCCTCTGTTAAATTAAGTGGGCCAGATGAGCATTCAAACATGTGCATGAGCCACACACATGAAGCTTTCATGCTGGATCGGGGTCAGTACAGAGAGTGGAATTTTTATATATTAGAATCATAGAAATTGGAAGGGGCCTCTGGGGTCATCTAGTCCAACCCCCTGCACAATGCAGGAAATTCACAAATACCTTCCCCTCCACCCCTAGTGACTGCTGTTCTACGCCCAGAAGATGACAAAAAAAAAAAACCTTCCAGGATCCTTGGCTAAACTGGCCTGGGGAAAAATTGCTTCCTGACCCCAAAGTGGCAATCAGCATTTCCCTGCGCATGTAAGAAAGGGCTACAAGAACTAAGCACTGAGGCAACCCTTCCTGCCCTCCCTCTCATGACACATGTTCACAAAGGATGCACAATGTATTGAGGGACACGTATGTGGCTTTTATCTTGCTAATTTTCAATGCAGTGAGCAAGTTATGCACATATACCAGATATTTATCAGTCCATCAGTCTTTAGGGATTTCACATGGACCAACTGTGTTTCAGCTGGCAAGTCACCATCCCTAACTGGGCATTGGCTGACCTAAAGTATTTTGGGGCACCCCCACTATTTTTGCTACTTAAAAAAAAAGGTAGGAAAAACAGAAACTAAAGGAGAGAGGAGAAAGACTGACCAATATGGAAAAAGTAGGTCCCACATTGCAGGCTGCATTAAAGGTAACGTACAGTAGATCACTTAAGGGTTGTATTTGACATCTTCAAAAATGTCACTTCAGCTCAGTGTTGTAAAGCTCTGCCAGTAAATCCAAGTATTTCAGATCTTCAGAGTGCGCGCGCGCACACGCACATGCTTAACAACCTCTCTGTGCTGTGCAATGTTACACAAAAGTGGTTTGCACAACAGCATCTACAGGAATTATCCAGTGCTTAGCAAATACTGCTATACTGTCTGCCAGCCAGAAGATCATTCTGTATTTTGGTTTGTTTGCATTCTTTTTGTATTTATGGTTTTATTCTTGGGAGGCCTTTGGAACTAATTAAGGCTTGACTGAGACTCCCTATCATTCTTGCAGTTTGAGGAATAACTAAATATAGGCCAGGACCTGACCCACAATGTCATTCCATATTCCTGAATATCCAGCTTGAGGACTTGTCTTGTGTGACTTGAAAGCTTCCATCTTGCATCCTAAAAAAAATTGGTCCAGCCTTAGGCATTTCTTATCCCGTACAAAGTCACCACCAGGTACAAATTTACACTGATGTGCAGCTGGATTCAAAATGAATTTAGGACACACTGTAGATAAACTCTCCCTGCTTTGCTCCTTTTCTATTCCATTCTGTGCCAAGTAAATGGTGTTGCCGCGCACACTGGGCCGTTTGTTTGCAATTGGGTAGGCCCAGAGAAGCATCTATCCACATACAATACACACACATATACAGTCCTTTCCTTGTGCCTGAGGAAGCAATTTTGGCTCAACAGGGACAATAAAATGCTTTGGCGCTTGAATGTCCTTCAAGGAGTAGTTGGACACACAGAATGTACTACTTTGAGCCTTTTATAAAAATATTTATTTTTATAGTTTTAATATCAAATGCTACAAATAAAATGGAAAAATTCAATTGACTGGTGATCTGGAGAAAATGATTTTTTAATTTAAAAAAAAATCATTTGGTAACAGTAAGTAGAGCAAAGGAGTATAATTTCAGCTGTCAGTGAATTCCCACTGGCCAAGTAAAGGATCTGTTAAGCTAGAATGATGTGTTTTCTGTTTGGCTCAGAGTTCAACCTTGGTGTGGTGCAGAAACCTGGTTCTGTAGCACAAGGGCTGAAGTGGCAAGAGACATAGTTTTTCGGCCCTGATGTTTGAAAATGGTTTGCTAAACAACACAATGTTAGAGTAACTGAGAAAATCATGTTTGGGGAAAATTAAATTGTCATGACCGAAACAGAGTAAAATAATCCATGCCTGAGTCTTTTGCTCCCTCTGGTGAAAAATTTCAGAAAAGAAATGCAAAGTGCATTTTTCTTTAGCACCGACTGTGCCCTTTTCCCAACTTCTGTTGCCTCTTAGTAGATATATTCTATGACAACAATACTAGCAGATATTGCTGTTGTGGGGAAACTTAGAAGTTAGTGATAAAGGACTTTCTAATTCCTGTAGTTTTAAATCTTTTCTTTAAAAGCATTGGTTAGCAATGTGGTATGAACACATCTTTCTTCTATCTTCCTCGAAATAATTTCAGAATCACTTTGCTGCAATGGTTGATCATCCTTTGGCCTCAGGTAATGAGAACACGAGGATTATCCAGCTCTTAATGGATCGTATCCATTAAGATCTTATGCTTTTCACAGATCTGGTATTGCAGCAGCACCCATCTATGGAGTACCAGTGAAAGTGTCTTTAGACAGTATAGAACTACCCTCTTTAAATTAAGTTAGAGAGATCAACATGAGGTTTGAATGTATTCCAGCATCCCTCTCCCTCAAATGATGGGTTAATGGCTATTTCGGTAGGAAAACAGGGAGTATGTCTCCGCGTATGTGAAGTTTTGTAACATCAAAACAGTTAGATAGACAGAACTAGCAAAGACATTATGAGAAACTTTGTTCGAGCCACGTGTAAGTTCCACATCTGATCATTCCACCATTACAGAGAGAGGCCCTACTTCCACTCTGTTTGAAAGAAGCGGTGTGTGTGGGGGGGGAATGCCAATCTCCTGCGTGCAGGATTGTTCTAAAGACTCTCTGCACCCCTAGACAGCACATACTGCCTTTGCCTGATGAAAACTAATTTAACGGAGTGGGGCTTTTACCTGCTATTCCCAAATCCCTCACCTCATTCACCCATTACTGGTCTTGGGCTTTCACCTGAACCAAGACCTTCTTATTCACCCCCAATTGGAGCTGTCTTGATCACTCCCTCTTCTCCGACTGGTATGCATGACTCTAAATCAGGCTACTGATGTACTCCAGCAGGCATCATATGCATTTTGCTTGTGACTGGTTTCCTCCAAAAACCTCCAGTGCCCAAGGATGAAGAAAACCCTGGATGCTGGTGCGATGTAGTCAGTTTTTTCTATATGCCTTTGGGTTTCTGTTTTTGCAGCCCCTGCAGTGCATCCAACCGGAATTTAGACTTCTGCAGGCCACTGAGATTCCTTAGCCTGGAAGAACAGTTGAGTGACCTTTGTGCTATTCACGAACATGTCCCTATACTGGAGTAGGGGTTTGCACTTGTCCTCCTTTTCCGTCTCCATAATCCTCTTCCTCGTCTGTATCAGCCTTGCGGAGAAGTTTGGGCCCCGTCAGGCCAATAAGTAAAGCTCCAGTTGGAGCTGTGATCAGGATTGCCAAGAAGGCCACTGTCAAGATATTCAGACCATATTCTTCTTGATTTGGATTATGATGCTCTCGTGCTGTATCTAAGGCAACGGAACCAATTGCAGCCTGCAACAAAGGAAATAAACATTTAGAATTTTTTTTAAAATTGGGTCTTTCAAGGACTTTCTCTGATGACAGATTCAGGTGGGTAGCCGTGTTGGTCTGAAGCAACAGAACAAAGTTTGAGTCCAGTGGCACTTTTAAGGTCAACAAAGTTTAATTCTGGGTATAAGCTTCTGTGTATCTGAAGAAGTGTGCCTGTACACGAAAGCTTATACCCGAAATTAAACTTTGTTGGTCTTAAAGGTGCCCCACTGGGCTCAAACTTTGTTCTCTCTGATGATGATGTGGTTGGAGAGGACCCTGAAGTTCAATCTCTTGTTGCCACATAGAGGTGTACAAGGACGAACCGTTCATTCCTCTTCAGAGCTTGAACACAGAGCTTGAACAGCAGACAAACCTCCACAGCTTGGATCCAGTGGTAATTTGTGCTGGCAGGAAGGATTTCCATCAGCAGAATGGAAGTTCCTCGCCTCTCCCCTCCTGCGCCTGCCCCAAATGCCCCCGAAATGCTGCTCCTGTGTTAGAGGATCCCTAGAAAGAGCTGGAGGTCTGCAACAGGAGGGAGGAATCAGCAAAAATCAATTCACAGAAATCCTTCTCTGGATCCAACCCCCATGTTCAGAGGCTACAGCTAGTACAGACTGGTGGCTCACCTTTCGACGGGGCAAACCACCAAAAACACATGCTAACAATGCTGCAGGATCTGCACTGGCTTTAAATAGCCCCTGTAGTATAATTCAAGGTAGCCATTCTCAATGATAGAGCTCCACAGACTGGCATACCTCAGAGTAGGGTCAAGCTTGTGGTGGACCAAGAGCTCGGTCTGAATCCAAGGCAATTTACAAGAGTGGGCTACTAAGGTGCATCATGGGAGGACCAAGGCCAGAACTTCAGTTCCTGGTCATTATGGACAAAACCAGTCCTGTTGGACCTTCATTTCTTGCTCAGTTAGAACAAATGGCACCTGTCAACAATTCATTGCTGCCTGAAGCCTTAGAGAATGGTTTATTTGGCTAATCATAAGAGTAGATTTGTCAAGAATGCCTTGATATGACATGAAACTGCCTTATACTGAATTGGACTGTCAGTCCATCAAGATCGGTATTATCTCCTCAGACTAGCAGTGGCTCTCAGGCTGAGGTCTTTCACATCACCTTCTACCCAGTCCTTTCAACTGGAGATGCCAGGGATCAAACCTGGGGCCTTCTGCACACCAAGCAGAAGCTCTACCACTGATCCACAGCCTCTCTCTTTCTTCTTTAAAATGCCCCGTGTATCATGCTTGACAAACAAGGAGCACATAGAAAGGCATCCTTAGAGAGTCAATTTTCCCAAGCAGTGTAATTTTCTTTCCACAAAGATGGGATCTAAGTGTTTTCTAGAGACAGTGAATGATTTTTCTATCATTTAACCGAGGATTAAGCCAATCCGAAATTATTCTCTCATTTTTAAAATGATTTTTTTTTGTTGCAGTGTGTAGACTTTTCTGAGGGAGGGAAGGCAGCATGTTATAGACCAGTCCCATCAGATCTCAGAAGCTGAGCAGGGTTGGTACTGGGATGAGAACCCACCAAGGAAGACTCTGCAGAGGAAGGCAAAGGCAAACCACTTCTGCATCTCACTTGCCTTGAAAGCCCCTTGCTGGGGTCACCATGAGTCAGTTGTAACTTGACAACACACATGAACAAACAAAGACATGTCTGAAGAATTCTTTGGTCATTTTTAATGGGTCAGTTCAGTTTGGCATCCTTGCACAAGGTTGACAGGGGTCTGGATGTTGTGAAGTGTACTGATCCCTGTCCCTCTTGGCTTCTGAAATGTTGCCAAGAGGTATTAAAAGAACTACTGGGGAAAATTATTGTTTCCATTCTGAAGAGGTGTTTCCAAAGGTTCTGAACAAGGTAGTGATTTGCCCACCTTTGAAAGAGCCTACTGTAAAGAAACATGGCTCATTTTGGCTAATTATACACCCATTCCTAAATCACTGTTTTTCAGTAAAATTATTAAGTGGGCAGTAGCAGAGCAACTGCAGGAGTTCCTGGATGAAATATGGTACACCTGAAGCTGCCTTACACTGAATCAGACCATCAGTCCATCAAGGTCAGTATTGTCTACTCAGATTGGTAGCAGCTCTCCTGGGTCTCAGGCTGAGGTCTTTCACAGCACCTACTGCCTGGTCCTTTTAAACAGAGTTACTCACAGGGCCATATCTAGGCGGGGGCGGTGGGGGAGGTGCCCCCTCCCAAATTTGTGATCCCCCACCCTGTGAGGATGCCAGACCCACTCACCCCCTGGGCAGCCACCTTCTTCTCCAGGTGGGCCCCCGGTGGGCAGTGGCACTTCAGCCCGGGCCCCCATGGCCAGCTGATCGGGTGCCAGCAGCCTGCTTCCTGCTGCTGCTGCAGCCCCCACTGGCTCCTCTCCAGCTGGGCTGCTCCTTGCAGCTTTGCATCCCTGCAGCTTTATGTTGGGCCCAGTGGGGAAGAGGCATTTCTGAGTCAAAGGGGGAGGGTGAAAACAAAAGGGCTGTGAGCGAGCCTCCGGCTTGATTCAGGCTACTGGGAATGAAAGCCCTGGAACAGCGTCAGTTGTGGCACCTCCGCTTCAGAGCCGTGGCCACTTCTTCCCCATTTGCAAATGATGTGCTGGTGCGGCCTGGGCCCCTGGTCCAGTGGCCCACCTGGTCCCTTGGAGCAACACTGGCCGACCATTCATGACAGTAGGAACTTCCTGTTCACTGCAAATGCCCAGTTTTTAATTTTTAAGAAAAACGACCCCCAAAGGCAAGGGCAGGCATGTGTGTTCGCAGGAGGGTGTTCAATATTTCCCCACCCGCAGTTCCTCCTCTTGGAGGAGCTTTCTCCTTCCTCGTCCTGGTCTTCTGATGCTCATGACAGCCCTCCCCCCATGACAGCCCACCCCCCTTTCTCTAGCTCTTTTATTTTTATTTTATCAATTTTCTGACATCAGAAGTAACGTCATGCCCCCCCAGTGCCCTCCCACTGAAAATCGTCTCTCTACGAGGCTGGTTGCTTGGGAATGAACCTGGGACCTTCTGCATGCAAAGCATAGCTCTTCCACTGAGCCACAGTCCATCCCCATCTGCCCTTATCCCAGTAGTGTTGGTGGATGGTCTATGCCTATAGATGGAGAAGGGGCATGCCTCCTTGCTGGATTTTTCTGCCACCACAGATATACCTTAGTGGATCATGCTTTATTGCAATACTGTTCAGAAGCTGGAGTAAGAATTAAGGGTACTCCTCTGAAGTGGTCGAGATAGCTTTTTTAATGATCCATGTTCAAAAACTGGTGATGGGCAAGGAAGAATCTGTAAGACAGGGTTTCTTCTGCAGATTTCCCCAGGATTCAGTGTTATCTTCCGTGCTCCTTAGTATTTATGTGAAGTCCACTTAACGAGATTGTCCATAGCTTTGGGGCTGGATGTCATCGATATGCTGATGATAGCTACATATCTCTTTTTGTGAATTTCCTGCACTGTGCAGGGGGTTGGACTAGATGTGGAATGGCCTTCTCAAGAATGTACGGAAAGCTCCCTTTCTACTTGGTGTTAGAAAGCATGTTGAGTTTCAGCCCTTTCAAAGCACTTTGGGGGACCATCAATTTGGGCACAGTATTGGTAGCTTTTTTTTAGGTCGTTATATCTGATTATTTATTGTTACCTTTCTTGGATTCCCATGTTGGGGAGAAAGTTAGGCTAATCTAAATAAATTATGGGAGTCTCAGTCTTTTCCTTCGTGTTCATGAAGCCAAAGAAGGAGCAGGTACAATATGTCTGTGTGCTCGTATTTAAAACAGTGTTTGCAAATTTTGTAAATGAAGGACTCCAGATAGCACCAGTGCAGATGTAACTCTATGATATGGTTAAAGGAAACAACAGACAGACTTTTTACAGGAGAGAGGAGGCAGAAGGCATACTCCTCGCGTTCTGTCCCATGGTTGGTAGATCAGGTACATTAGATGTGTACTTCTACTTGGTGAAGAGTACCAATGAGAGATGAAGAGTAAAGAAAAAAAAGGAAGAGTCTTCCGATGCATGAAGAGCACATGGTGAAGTAGCATTCTTTGCCCCCTCTTTTTTGCAAGCATCAAATGGTATTTGTTCCATGTCCTACCATGGTGTAGAGTTAGCTCCTCATTTGCAAAAAACACAGGTTTGCTATTAAAGGATATTTTACCTGGACAGTTGCTTTGGGGATCCATGCCAACGCAATAAACAGTTTCTCCTTGAAATCAAAACCCGCACAAGACACCAACGAGAAAGCAGCAATTATCCGGACTAGTAACGAAGCGCCCATTGTGGCCAAACAAAGCCCTGCAGCAGAGAAATGTCCTAATTTACCTTTATGGAACTGTGGCCCCTAATCTTGATGTGATCAAATGCCTGGGGCAGAGAACAATACTCCAGCTCACGAGAGACAGTGAGATATTATTCAACAAATCAAATACATCTTGAAACCACTCAACTGTGGTTGTGCCTCATTTTGCAAAACAGACCCTCTGGCCAGTGCCAGCCACTTGACCATGGAATCTGTATCTTTAGCCCGGCTTTGTTTACTTTAAAGCACGAACAATAGACATGTGTGTGTTCATATTAGCAAACAAACTGGCCTAAAGCATAGAGTGAAACTCATGTATCTTTCTGCCTATGACAGAAGCACATTGTGTCTTTATATACAGGTCAGCACCATTTAGGTGAGGTACATGAGTTAAAGTGCCAGAGAGCTCTGCAGGTGACTTTGTGAGGTGTTCAACCCTCTCTCCTACCCAACATCTTATTCACTCAGTCTGTGCCCCTCCAGTATACCCTCATTCAGAGTATGATACCAGAACCAACCCCACCTGACCAAAAAGCAGTGGGAATATGGGCTTTAGTCTCCACCCCCTGGGCCCCAATCTTTCAGTTTTGGAGAAGAAAGATCTTCACTTGTACCCTTCCAAAGTAAGCTAGCCCATTTCACTCAGTGCTACTGATCTTCCAAACAGGCTTACCAAATGTTTTCGCTCCAATGGAAACAATGGATATTTCAGCTCCAATTAAGGAAAAAAGAAAAGGCTGGAAAATCTCCCAGGCAGCTGCAATAATTTCTTCTACCTCTCTCTGCAGGACAAAAAATGAGCCATGTTACAAGAATTGCTTGGGTCTTGTCCAGAGGACTGTCATGGTCTCTGTGCCGGGGGAAAGTGGCAAATGTAAACACAATCAGTTTCAAGGTGTCAGACTTTAGTTAGTCCAGTCAATATATTTGTTTGCTTGCACTAATCCTAGAAGTTTGTTCTAGCCATTCTTAATTAAGGGGCAGCATCACTTTTTCAGAGATGTTAAGGCCAAAAGACACCATTATAACACAGCTGGAATTTCTACCATCGTACAAGGCTATATTGCTTAGAAAATTTCACATCAGTACCAGACATGACAATTGAGCTGAAACTACAATGGAAACTATTTTTAAAAAGTCAAATATTTGGATATGTTACTCCAATATATATTCATTTATTGACTCAACTTGCTGTCTGTATTCACTGGCTCTCAGTAGCCCTCACTGATGCTATTCATGTTACGTGCAGTACATTATGACTTCAAGGAGGGATGTACATTTTCAGCCACACCATGAGATACATCCAGTCAATTCACTGAATGAATATCATGATACAGAAGCATATCTGAATTGTCTGTGCATGCAGAGCAGAAGTCTGCTTCCATACGTGGATCTGCTGCACTAGTACAGGGCAAGTGTCTAAACCTGAGGCAAGAAAAATCTGTCCCTGTAGTAAAGCAACACTACTGGCACCCAGAGGAGTTACGCAAGTTGGAATCAAGATGACGCTATTCAATGAACACTTACCTTCTCATTTGACCACGCCAAACCACCCATAAATGATAAGACAAGTGTGCAGAGGCCTCCAGATCCAGGGAAGCCGAAGTGTTTGCTGCTCAAAACAGCAAACACAGATAGGCCCATCACAAAAAATGCTCTCTTCCAAACAAGAAATGTCTAGATTCAGGGGGAAAAATGGAAAGGATTATTAAATACTTTTTAAAAAGTCAACATACATCACTAGAAAAGCTATACCAAACTGACGGAACTGCAGGAAAACTTCTGTGTGAAAGACCACTAATAATAATAATTAAGTGCTGACAAGTCACAAGTGATTTATGGCAACCCCTCATGGGGCTTTCAAAGCAGGAGATGAGCAGAAATGGTTTGCCACTGCCTTCCCCTAGATAGCAACCCAGGTCTTCCTTGGTGGTCTCTCATCCAAGTACTCACCATGGCCACCCCTGCTTAGCTTCCAAGCTAAGGCTAGCCTGGCCTATTCAGGCTGCCAGGGGTCGTTTTGTAGAAAAAGAGGTGCAGGAGCTCATTAGCACAACTCATTAGCATAACTTATTTGCATATGCCACACCCCCTGACATCGCCGGAAGTGTGTCAGAAGGCAACACCCACCGCTCAGGCTCCAGTGGACTGTTTTGGATTGCTAGCTATTGGGGGGGGGGGGGGCGGGGAAATTGGCCC